ACTACAACAACCACCCTGGCTCCTACAACAACGACGACCCCTGCACCTACGACAACCACGACTCCCGAGGAAACCACCTCCACCACAACATCAACACGAACAACTGCAACGATTCCTGATGTACCAACCACTACAACCACCGCGAAGAAGCCTTACTACGGCAAGTACTACTACGGCAAGTACTCTCACTACGGCAAGTACTACGGTAGGCGCCATAGCCATCGCTGCGCCTATTGGTGCCAGTTCATGCCACCCAAGACGTGGAAGTTATCGCCTGGCTGTCGAGGTTGCACCGAAAAGTCGCTTGTAGAAGAGTCGGAAGCAGAGGAGTGAAAGAAGAGCGCTGAAAGAGAGCTTCCGAGGCAAAAGATCTCAGGAGCTTAGCAGGCCATCTGGCGCATCTCGGGCGAGGGAGCGGGGTGGCCTCTTCTGCCACACAGACAGGCAGGAGGGTGTGTTTTGGCGATCTTCGAGCACATGTCTGGTAGATCGCTTGCTGGCTTTCAGCAATGTGGCGGAGTCGACGTAGCCACCGGTAGAGTCTCACAGCTCAATGGGAGCTCTAACGCCAGCTCCACGGTCCAAATTCATCGTGCGGGCGTGCGACCTGAAAACAAGCGAGCACGGAGGCCCTTGCTGTGGTTTGGTCTGATATTCTCTGAATTCTTGCGAAGATGATTGTTCGAGGTTGGGGCTGCCAAAGAAGCGGCGCGCGGTCACACCTCCAGGGCTTCCAAGGAAGGTCTCCGGCTCGGTCCGGTGCCTCCACGTTCGACGACGAAAGTTTTTTCTTTTGCAGGGTGCGCCAACTTTGAGGGGTTGTACCAGGCTTCGTGGTGCACTGGAGATGGCTGGGCGGTGGGGATGTGATCATGACAGGACAGCGGCGGTGGGGTGGTCGAGGCCCATCGGCAAGCCGCAGCATGGTGCAAGCAGCGAGCAAAGTCGTGCCCAGTGGTACCCCAGGTGTCGCAGACGAAGTGCAACATCCGAGCAAGGAGCTGCTCTGAGCTCTTTCAAGCCGCTGCAATCATCTAAACGCAGCTGGAAGTAGCGGTTGCTGCTTCAGGAATGCTGCGCAGCGGTGGTCCATGGATGCTAATGCGGATGGCATCCAGGTGCCTTTTGAAGCAGATTGCACTCTGGCGGCCCTGGCATGCAGCAGCCTGCGGATACTGTTATTCCCTGGACCTTTGTAATGCTAGACTATTAGACGGTCTTCTTAGCAGGGTTTACGATCTTTGCCGGCCCGAAGGGTCAGACAAACCGTGGGAAGCTCAAAAAGGAAAACGAGACACGATGGACGTCGCTACTAGTACCATAATGAATCAGAGACAAATGCAGAACAGAAGCATGGTCATGTGCAGCAGGCAATACTTTTACATTTGCTCCCTCCCATGCTTCTATGTCTTCATTGTCGGGAGTCAGCCGTCGTAGTATCGGGCTGGTGCAGGCTCGTTGCCCACCCCAGATGCTTTTGGTACTGCCTGTGAATCATCGTCTCCTTGCATGGTTGCAAGCGCAGGTGTTTATGTGGGATGTTGTCGGGACGCTCAGAGACGGTTTCATCTCCTGGTCGAACCAAGCAACCTGGGCCAGAATCCCAGGAGAGGGCCCCAGGGCTCATGACCTGGCTTGTGGTGGAGCTGTCTCGTTGTAAGGTCATCCTGCAGGATGCCGCTGAAGCAGAGAAAAAGGGCTTGCCTTTTTTGCCGCGGCGCTTTCATGCTGTGTGTGGACCTTGAGGGAAGAGCGGGAGCAGAGCTGCCGGACGCGTGCTTTTGCCAGTCGGAGCGAGTGACTAGGTTTGGGTTTGCTGCTCGGGTGATGGGTTGGCCTGGGCACGGAGGACTTCAGAGGTCAAGACGCTGCGAGATGCGGGGGAGGATGAAGTCTTTTTGGGGCTGGGGAGGGGGCGAGGCCGGGCGTTCTCCACCTTTCGTTTGGCGGGGCGATGCTTGGTTTGTTGTCTCGTGTTGCATCGACATGGCCGACGATGGGATCCAGGTGCATCTGCAGTTGAGAAAAATGAATCAAAATGAAGCATTATAAGAATCATGACATAAGGACGCAACATGCGTGTGAGCTCTTTCTAGAGACTTCTGACGTGCAGATCTTGATAAAACATCGCAGTGCATCTCCAAGCCATCAAACTTGGTGTGTTTGTGGTGTTTGAAAGTCTGGACACGACGTTGAGCAATGGCGGGGGAAACTTGGCTGCAAGAAGCCACCAGCAAGAGTGTTGTTCGTTTTCGAAGATCCGAGCGGGTGCTGGAGGTCTTTGCCGACTTCTTCGGGCTGAGCAAGGGCTGTCTCCGGCTCAGGAGAGTTCTGAGAGTGCACTCGGCACGCAGCTCTGCGAGGTTGCAGCAGCCCCGGAAACTCCGATGCTGACACGGTCCTCGTCGTGGACAGCGCGGCGCTGGCCGAGGAGGCTGCGACAATTGGGAACAGCGGATTCCGCAAGGCAACAGGGCTTGGTTGCCTTGCAGGTGGAGGATGTGAAGACGTTGCCGTCTTCAAAGTTGGAAGACGGCAAGACGCCAACGACCACCTGCTCCTTGCCGGCATCGGCATTGGCGTTGGTACCGAGCCTTGCTCTGTTCACTGAGATGGGCTCAGCTTCGGTGATCCCTCTCCTTCCAGCTGGGGAGCATCACCAACCTCTCCGGGTGTTGAGGACTTGAGCGCAGAGGGGAAGGAGAGCCGTTTGCAGCTTTTGAGCAGGACTTTGGCTTTTCTAAGACCGGTTCTGCGCTCGCGGAAGGCCAGACAGTAGCTTGCAAAGTGCAAGGGTCGCAGCTGAGCTCCGCTGGCAGAGAGTTTGCGCTGTGAAGCCATCGCGCCCACTGTCGCGTCAACATCTTTCGAAAGTTGTGCTCAAGAGCCGTGTACCCGACAGCTGCTAGCAGATGGTAGAGTTTCATTGCTGTTGGGACCCGTCACCCTGGGAAGGTGCTTCAGCAGAGTTCGAGGCAGATGGCTGCTGCAATGGGGTCTCTAGAGAGGCTTCTGCTAAACGACCCGACCCACTGCCCTAGACTTACGTCTGATACGGTTGCTTCTGGGGTGATTCGAGCGTCGATATTGAGGGTGAGACTTGTTGCATACAAGGCTTTGTCGCATCTTCCATAGGGGTCGTTGAATTTTGCGCTCGCTGCAGGGCGGGAATAGCAGAGAGCAACACATACTATGTAAAAACTGTGCCGTTGGCTTGGTGCTGATACAGCATGTCCTCAAATTATAAATCGTGTCGCAGTGACTTTAGCTCAGGATAGCCGTGGTAGAAGCTGTTTAGGATGTAGTGTGACACGGAGAGAGCACAAGAACGGAAGCGCCGAAGTCTATGCCTTGACTAGATTTAAAGTGGCCGGCATCGTTTATCATTATGCTCCGCAGTCGCTGGAGGGAAGCTTAATGTGGCCGACGGACGTGCGAACTGTTGAATTCGTCCAAGTCGCGACCCCAAGCCACGGACGCTTCTGCTGAGATCTTTCCGCGGGAGGCAGGTTCCCTTCCTTTTTGGAGCGTCCTTGGTCTGTGAAGGCTCAGCAGCTGCCCGAGCTTCCAGACAAGGCCGGAAGCTGGGCAGCGCCTTCTCGTCGCCACAAGCGCGTTTGTCGAGGCTCCACTCGAGGAGGATCAGATTGCGCAGCCCCGAGTCCGAGCGCCTCTGGAGGCTTCGCTCGCTTCGCTCTTCTTCTGGCTCCGCAGGTCGTGTCTGGCCTCAAAGCACGCATGCAGAAGGCGACGAGCCGGGCACACTTCCTTGGGGGCCCAAAAAAATTGCGCTTGGCTGCCACGCCACGCCAGGCTAGAGGAAACCTCGATGCCCTGCGAGAGCGAGTGCAGGCCCGTGTGCCTTCAAACGGAGGTACCCAGAGCATTATCGCAGCCTCGAGGTGGAGATCCTGCAAGGTCGTGCTCCAAGCAGCCCTGCCGAAGAACGCGAACTTGGGTTCTATTCCACCTCTACGCTGATGCGTGACTTGGACAAAAGCATCGGAGGAGCCTCATGGATCTGGCATTTGAAAGTGTCGTCGTATTTCCAAGTTTGTTCGAAGCATCAAGCCAGGATTGAGAGCAAGTCTGCTGAAATGTGAGGGCGGTTTGTTGTGCCAGCATGTCGGAGGTTACTTGTGCATGCAAGACGGTGACGTCAACAAGGCAGGCAGTGCATGATTTAGTGAATTCAATCGACCTGGTGTGGGTGTACCTAGTACTGAGTAGTTGCAGTTCCAGATACCGGGGGAAGGATGGGCAGCTGAGCCGTGTTTGCTTGCACTTTGTGACTCCTTTTGCCTTGAGGCGTTCAAGGCGATGAGAGACACCATGGAGTGGCGGAAAAAGACCTTCATTCCTGCACTGTTTCCTCAGGTGCTCCTGCCTTTGCGCCTTTTGCAGTGTTGGGAGCCCGGACTTCTCATCGCGCCAGGGTTGCTCCCTTCCTTGCTGCCGGGCTTGCGCGAGAGATCCAATGTGCAATCCCTAGCAGACAGCTGCAAGCAGCTGCATGCAGCACTGCGAAAGAGCACTGGTCGACTTAGGTCCCACTGCTTTCTTTGTGTGGGTAAAGACGTTCTCGGGCGCCATGCTGCTCGATTGCATGTCAAGGGACTTGGACTTGTTGGAATGGCGATTGCATTTGGATGTTTCCTCCCCCGCAGTCCTTGCATGCACAAACCTTGATGCATCTCCATGTGCCGGCTGAAGAGCTTGCAGACTTGCTGAATCCTTTGTCCTGCGTGCTGGCAAGAGCTGACCCAGATTCCGTGTTGATCAAGTGCTTCTGCGCGCATGAGCCTTGCTGCAGTCTTGGTTTTGGGATTTGCAACCATAGCCGGGTCTGATGGTCTAACGGACTGGATCCGAGATCTGGGAGGCTTCGTTTCCAGGAAAGTGAAGATAAAAGCAGATGGTCACGGAGGGCGTGGCTTGTTTGTCACGGCTGAAGTCAATGAAGATGAGACCCTTGTTTCTGTGCCACTACAAGCGATGGTCTTGGGAGAGCAAGCCACGAATGCGACACCTTGTGCAGACGCGATTCGGCGATTCTTCGACCAGAGCCCAAACCAACCGGACCGCGGCCGGACTCATGCCCTGTTCAGCATGATGGTCTTGCTGCTGTCCATTTCTGACAGAACTGACAGCCGAGCAGAATGGCCACATTTGGATGACCTCCTTAGCCACTGGAGCAAGGGACAACAGCAGCGATTTCCATTGCTTTGGCCAAACAGGGCGCTTCGGGAGATTGACGGAACAACTGCATCAATCGTGTACGCCATTGCCAGAGGAGGAGTTGAGCGTGAGTACTCGGAGCTTTTGCAGCAGACCTGCCCAGAGATCGCAGGTAAGTTCAATCTGCAGGCATATAAGAAGGTCTGGGCCCTTGTTAACTCTCGTGTCCTGACATACCCGGGCAGCTCCTTCGCACAGCCGCAGTCTGCGCTGGTCCCACTCTTCGACTTGGTGAACCACCAGCTGCCGGTGCCTGACTCGCCCTTGCTCTCCCTGCCCGAGATCCAAAGCCACCAGGCCAAGTCCTTGGGTCGCTTCGGAACAGAGCCACCAGCGGGCTCCAGAACGAAGGGCAACCTGTATCTCTGGCTGAGGCGTCCAGTGCGAGAGGCCACCGAGGTGACGGATGTATATGGGCTCCAGAGCAACGAGGAGTCGCTTTGGACTTTTGGGTTTACGGTTCCGTGGATTCACAACCTCACCTGCTTGACGCGATCGCGTCTGACCTTGAGACCGGAGGACTTGCCCTACATCTCACTCAGTCGCCCAGGCTTCGGCGCTTTTGGAGCTTCGGATCTGCTTCGGGCCCTCGAGCCGCATCTCAGCTTCACCGTGGGAGGCTGCGCTGAGCAGAGCGGGCAAAGTGGGCAGAGCGGACAGAGGGCGTCATCCCTTCAGCCTGTCCTGGCCTTCCTTCGAGCCTGGATCGCTTCAACGCGGGCTGAGTCTTTTTCAGATCTCAGGGAGGCCTGTGCGCTGACCGTTCCGCGGCCACTGCAGCCTGTCCTTCGCCTGCCTGACCTACCTGGTCTAACACAGGATACTTGGTCCATGGGCCCTTGCAGGTACCTGAACCTCGACGACGAGAAGCTCATGTTGGATTTTCTGCTCGGGGTCCTGGAGGAGAAACGCTCTGAGATGGCTGGCGGCTCATTGCTGGACGAGGAGCGGCTGTTGCAAAGAAAAGGACAAGCTGGAGTTTGGCAAGATGCGGTTGTTCTCCGTCGGGATGAGAAGTTCCTTCTGCAAGAGCTGACGGACTGGCTGTCTCGGGAAAGGAGGCGCCGATCGGGGCAAACCTATGGGGCAAGGGCTGACAGGCTTTGCAGGCCACGGCTCTTATCAGTCAGAGTGAAAGACCGTTAGCTGGCACTGGATCCGCGAAGTCCCTTTAATAAGAACTCTGCACTCTTTCAGAGATGTTCCCTGAAAAGAGGCAGCTTCAGCCTGAGCGCCGCAAGCGGGCAGCTGAACTTTGATTTGGGCAACGGAGGGCAACGTCCTCGAAGTGTGCGGGTCCCTGGCAGCGACGCCGAAAAAGCTCGGAGCAGAGACGGTGGCGTAAGCACGGGGGTATATATATATATATACATATATATATACACATACATGAATGGTCCTATGTAGCGGTGCGCTAAATGCTCTGCTCTTCCCAACTTCTTCGCTTTCCATGTTTTTTGGCACCGAGGTAATCTACTCTTGCACAGGGCGTGCAGCCAACAAGACGCCCGAGGATGGCATCGAGCACATGGCCTCGGAGCTGGAAAGGCGCTCTGCCCAGGATCGCCAAGAAGTGCTGAGCAGGGTTGTCCACGCAGGCTCTTCAAAAACTCCACAATTCCCGGCTCCGTTGCCTCGCCCTAAGATTCGCTGCCAACTGGACTTGCAAGGACCGGGTTGTCCTCCATCGAAGCAGGAATGCTCCTGCTTCCCTCTCCTGCAAGCTAAACAAGCCAGACCGCCAAAATCCATTAATGCATCTGTGTGACTGTGTGTCTGCGCCAACTAGAATAACTATAGAAGTTTATCGAACTGGGACGAATTTGGACAGCATCCAGGGTGACACAGCACCCTGTATCGGCAGTTTTTCTTGTGGCACAGTTCGCTTCTGCCATAACATACATATATATATGTATATATATATATGTTCACCCGGCGTTCGAACGACATCTTGAAGCTCCTGTCGAAACAAACAGGAAACCTCAAAGGAGTATGGTAATGCTCTCGCTGCGACTGAGGCACGGAGCACACATGAATTCCAGACTCCAGACGTGCTTTGAGGCCTGGATCGTGGACTTTGCGGGCTTCGGGTTTGCCGATTGCAATCCGAAAATTGGTGCACGGGCCCCGGCAGTGTTCTCGATTTTACCATCTTCGAGTGAAGCATAGTGAAGCCTGTCGAGGCTCTCGCCTTCCCTATGTTTGCCAGCCATTACCCAGAAAGATTTGGGCAGATTGTGCCAGGAACCCAGCAGCTTGCTTTTCCAGGCTGCCTAAGCTGTTTTTTGTGGACAAAAGGCTTTTCTCAGGTGTCTGAGTCTCCCCTACGCCTTCTATCCGATCTACGCCGCTGGCAGCAAGCCGGCCGCCCAGACGCCCCAGCCATGCGCAGCACATGGAAGGGCCGTGTCGCCCGTTGTGGCTCAGGATCTTCGACAAGGAGACGATGGCCAAGGTGAAGATCCTCAAAGGGGACAAGGATTGGAAAAGATACGGCGATGCCTACTGGAGTCTCGTGCCTGAAGATCTTGAGAGAGTGAGAGCGATGCTTCAACATTGCGCATGAGCTCAGGCCATGATCCAGGGTGGACGGCCTCAGTTGCTACGGGTGCGCCAATTTTGCTCGAGGGGCTCCGGATTGTGCTGCCAGGATGAGGAGGTGGCTGGATGCGGCCGTGAAGTGCGGGGCCCTCGATGCCAACGGAGTCTGCGAAAAACAGCGAGAACCCCACCTTGGGCCCAAACTGCATTCGAGCGGGTTTGCGGCGAAGTAAAGGAGTGCCAGGTGGCTTTCCAGACGCGCAGTTTACCCAAGACTTGCAGCCCGGGCCCCAGGGACCCTTTGGAGCATGAAGAGACGTTTCAACCTCAAAGAAGGATGGCTTTTGCCTCAAACTGAGGCGGACGGAAGCCACAGAATCTTCAATCAGGCAGAAAAGCGCCCGAGGGCAAGTTCCAGTGTTCTGAGATCCATCAGGCATACTAATCACATCGAATGTGAGACCAGGCAGTAAATGGCAAGGCTTGCCTAGAGCAAGTTTGACTGAGCGGGCACATGCGACTGTTCAGGATTCTGGAACGGTGCGCCGAGCTGTCGGAAAAGCACTGATCAGGTAGCTAGCTGGTCTCGGGAACTTGCGTTCCTCGCAGACACTTAGTTGTCGGGCAGGGCTTCCCTGTTTGTTCTTGCCGCACAGGGTACCAGTATTGCACGCATCGCCGGGTAATGTCACGCACAAATAAAGAAGAGCGTGCAGACAATGCAACGGCTAGCTGAAAAGGAAACACTGCCATGGAATCTCGCATTATGGTCACCTTTTCATGACTCGTGGCTCGGACTGTGGTTGCTCATCCGTAGCACCCTGCTCAGCCACTTGTGCAATGCGCTTCAGTTTTTGGCGAAGAACCTTGTAGTCAGTCTTTAGCCAACCGATCTGCAGTGGCTGTTATGCATGAACGATGCGCAGCGGCACTTTTACTCGTTGGCCCACTGTCGGTGGGCGTGGGCCAGCATGCATGGTTGTTCCCAAGCATGGCAAAGCCGCGGCATCTGGACAACGAAGAGTGTTCCAGTTGAAGGGGGCCGGGAAGGATGGTTCAGAATTCCGGTTACACTTGTGTCAGTGGGGAGGGACGCTTTTGCAATCTATTTTTGAGGTCCTGAACCATCTGCAGCCGGGCTGCCCTCCGTGGCTGTGCCATGTCAACCCTTGAGTGGGTGTGGAGCTCTGACTCAGAGGCTCGGAGCTCCATCTCTTCATACCGCAGGTAGCTGACACAGGCAGCCGGCTGTGGAACTTCAAAAATTCGGGCATCTAGACGTCGTCTCACTCTGTCTCCTTGCTTTCCCTTGGCAGATGGCCTTTGGACTTGTACGCTGTTCTTAGTATGAACTTGAAGCCAAGCGAGTTGAGATCTTCGCGAAAAGCAAGGAGGAGCCGGTCTGTTCACGCCGCAGTCAGAGTGATGTCAGCCTTTCCAAGCCCGAAGAGCTCATCTTCGTAGTTACCGTGAAGTGTGTTAGATGATCTTCGTGTTGGAAAGGCCTGGGCCCCTGGGCCCCTGGACCCCTGGGCCATCGCGAGAGGGCGAGAGATGCCTCAACGAGCCTTCCACAGGAAGCGTTCGTGGCCGATGCACCGACTCGGACAGCCGGCCAAAAAAGATCTGTCGCAGTGAGATGCATGCAACTGTCATCGTTGGAGGGGAGCTGTTGCTACAAGGTTTGATGTGGTGCAGGACAACCGTGGTCACCATGGTCACTAAGAGCTCACTGCATGGATATGGTGGTGATGTGCTCAAAGCCAGATCTGCTGGCTTCTTGGGGGGCAGTTGTCCGAGTGCGAGGGCACCTGTTGAGAAAGTGCTTCAGTGGCAAACAGGCTCGGCCGACAGATTTCACGGACCTCTGTGAGCATCTGAGACTCTAACCATTCCGGCACTGCCAGGAGTGTCCTTTTCATGCTCCGGGCCGCGAGCTGCTTGTCCAAGCCATATCTGGGCCGGATTGGCTCAGGTGCGAGCCTGAAACCTCCCAAAGCATGTCAGTAGAAGAAGATCCCACCCATGACTAGTCTTTCAATTGCCGGAAGGTGCGCTTTCAGCGGTGCGTCCAACGAGATCCGCATTTCCTGGGAGGTGCGCAGCTCTTCTGTACAGGACTGGCTGCATGGGATGACTTCCCTCACGTATCATGTTGTGCAGCCTGAATGGAAAGATCAGCGAATCGCGAACTCAGCTTTGCCAGGCCCAGGTACTGCAGCTTCACCGTGCACTTCATCAAAGACGAGGATGTGTGGCGACCAAGTACTTTTTCGTAAGGGTCCGTGTCTTTTCAGCTCTCCCCCAATCTGCACTGCTTGAATTCGTCTACATGCTGGCGAGGGCGGGAGTGTCGCCGTGAAAGCCAAGACTGGCCAAACGCTGCTCCAGGTGGGAAGCGACAGCAAAGCAAATAATGCTCTTTTTAAAGTCTTCGCGTCTTAATAGTTCACTGGTTTCGCTCCGGGCCATGTGGCAAGGTCGCGCACGACCACGACATTGACATTGAGGGCGCTTGTGGCGGAGAATGTGCATGCAGCACTTGCCATGTCATTCTGGAGAAGGAGCTGCTACAAGAGTTGGGTGCGCTTGGGTCGCGCAGGCCGTGACATGACCTCATTGACAGGAGCAGTTCGACAAATTGCCGCCACCGGATGATGATGAGGCCAGTAAGCTGACAAGAGAACAGGTTGCACTTTGTGTTTCGAGACGCTTCGGGCCGGCCCTAACCCCTCGACTTCGGACATGCACCGTTTCGATTGTGCCGTGTCGACTCCGAAGACTGCGGTGATGCCTGGGCTCGAGCGTTCACCCTCCGCCTCCGAAGACTACAAGCAAGTGTTGCCGGCGCCATGGCGACAGAGCAAACGACGCCGCGGATTGCAATCTTCAACATGGAGATTGTGCCTCGTCTTCTCAGAGTGTCCGCATGGTGGAAATAGTCGTGTTCGCTTTCGCAATGCGAGTGCAGGTCGGCACTGTCAACCCGGTGCTCCCTGTGATTGCTGAGCTTGCGAAGCGGGGCTGCGACGTTCGTTACTATTTGACGAAGGATGCAAAGCTTTGAGCCTGCCCGCAATCGCCCTTTCCATGAGGCCCTACTTGTAAGGTGGTACTCGATCTTTTCCTTGCCTCGAGACGCTTCGTGGGGTGTGAGGACACTTATGTCGCGGACGTCAAAGGTGCTGGCGCTTCGCCAGTCAAATTTGACGAATACTTCCTCCGCTGGGATGCACTGATGGAGGTAGACAGCTGTGATTTCGACGCTCCGTGCCGTACTGCACTGTGCAAGTTGATCTGCCAGGAGGAGAAAGTCTGGTTTCAGGCACAAGGCTGCGGCGAGGGCTTGGCAGCATTGACGGCGGACGGAATGGAAAAGGAGTTCCTCGCGTTCCGGTGGTTGCACTTCGCATTGCCCACAGGCCAGTAGCTGCTGGGGCCGTGCAAATGCTGGCATGCCAACATAGAGTCGCCTGGCAGGCGTTGTCCTGGGCAGGCGTCTAGCCGATCTGTGGAGCAAAGAGGGAAGCTGGCGCCCAGACTTGGCCCCATCTTCAGTTGTCCTCATCCTGACCAGTGATCCAAAAGCTACTTGCAGACTTGAGAGTTTGATGCAGGTGCTGTATAACGTGATGCTGCTGCATCCTTATCTTGCTGCTTGCAAAATCGGGGTTCCCGGCGTGTCCTTCTCGACGTACCCGGGTCCTGGACGGGAGGGGTCTCTCTTTCTGCGCTCATCTCAGGCTTGTATTGTACCTCCCCTTACTGGGCAGGAACTCCGATGCACCTCTACGAGATCCCGGAAGCAGAGCGGCAGGCAGAGCATTGCGAAGTCCTCCCGGTCTGCCGAGCCCGAGCTTTGAGCTACGCGAATTTCCCGCAGGCTGTCGACGACAACTTGGCGAAGCATCCAGGCATGCAGGAGGCTCCTCCTGCCGAGTGGCAACTGAGCTTCTCGCCGCTGTCTGGCGTTTGAGGCCAACCAAGTTGCCCTGCGACTGTTCGGTGTGGATGTGTGTGCATCACAGCTGTGCCTGGGCAGAGATATGGGGATTAACACCAACAGCCCGATCAATGCAGCTGCTTTGCAGGCAATGCCGCTTTTACAGTCGCCAGCTGAACATCATGCTGCTTGACAAGCCAACTCGGAAAAAGACATGCCAAGGGATGCAACCAACCAAGGTTTTCTGTGCCGCAGCTCCAGGGTGAGGTGCCGAAGTATCAGAAACTTGGCTGCAGGGGAGATGCTTCCAATTATTTCCAATTTCAGACAGGCAGGGCGTGACTCTCGTCTGGAATTTGTGTCTGAAAGCGTGAGGCAGGCCTTGCTGGATGACTCGACATTTCTTTGGGTTGGTGCCGTCGACGACATGAAAGCCTCTGCGAAGCGTGCGTCCGCGCCCAACGAGGAAATGGGCACGCCTCTTGCATCTTGCGTTCGTGTTCTGTGCGATCTGGGCCTGTGTGCCGAGAGGACCCATGCTCACCAGCGACCAAAGCTTCGTGGCATACTCCTCCTGGTGTCAAGGCAGGCAGTGCTCCAAGCTGTGAAGTTGTCTATCTACTTCGGGACACGGCAGGATGCTCTGTTGAAGCTTCCCTGCATCCCTGCCCACAGCTTTAAAGTTGTATGAATATGGTCCGGTTTGAGGGCGATGCCTCGGTCCAAGCACCCACGGGCTCAAGCCGAAAATGGGGTTTGTATCAGATTTTATTCCAATTCAGGGGTGGGGTAGACAACACTGTGCAGATGATTATGAGTTAGTCCAGGCGTACCGTCTCGAGTCATAGGCTGTCGTAACCGACTGCAAGCCGGAATGACAACAAGTAGGCTTTAAGCATTGAAGCACTCAAGAGTTTGACCTCCCCAAACGGCGTGGCAACGCTATGAGCTATGGGGTTCTTGCGTTCAGGGTCAGGAGAGTGTTGCTGGAACCGTGCACCCGGCGCGGCTCGAAAAGAAGCTCCCCGCGTCTCAATATTTACACCAAAGGCTGCCAATCAGTCCCACCGTTCCATTATCTGCACAGTATGCTCGTGGTGCGGTGCATAGTTTTGCTAGCATCCTGTACTTGGAGAAGTTTGTGCGCAACGGGTTTCGGGGAGGCGTAAACAAAAGGAATTCAAAGCGACATGGCCCACTGTTGGTTCTCGAATGTTCTCGAAAACCTTAACAGCAACACAAGTTTCGGGGGGGTCCTGGATGCCGTTCTTCCGTATCCTTGAATCCCGCCAGTACTTGGGGGGAATGTACTCCGGGCATGGTTCTGAATGTGCCAGTACGTGGGGGAACGCATTTTGGCAGTGTCCTTGGTGATGGTCCTCTGGTGCTGTCCGGCTGGTCTCCTGCTGGTCTTTTGGTCTTTTGGTGGTCTCTGCAGTAGGTGGGCTCTTCGAGGTCTTCTGGTGTCGTGGTGGTCACTTGCTGGTCTCCGGGTTCTCTCAGGGGTCTACGGGTGGTCTCCTGGTCCTGGTCCTGGTTGGGGTTGCATGGCGTAAATGCAGGACAAACACAGATGGCAACTCGTGGCGACCTGTTTATCCCAAGCAATTCAGGCGCGTTTGGTCGTGACTTTCTGGTCCTCTGGCCTTCTTCTGGCAATATCTTCCACTGCTTGGGGCACAATCATTTTTGCCCAACTGTGTCTGTTGTTATAGGCAGCAGTGACTTGCAGGGTTGACTGCTGGGCTGTGGTTGCGAACTTTACCGACAGGTGCAAATTACCTCGCTTGTAACGGTAATGAATGGTGTTGTGCTGACCACTGCAACTATATGATGATGATGACGATGAGGATGATGATGCTGATTATCATCATCATCACCATCATCCTCGTCCTCGCCATGTTCAAGGTATTCTGCAGTCGTGCAACTTGTTCCCGATACGGGACATCTCATCCGGGGTACTTGAGATGCATGCTGCATGCCGAAGGTGGTCGTCGTCTCTTTGGGCAGCCTGACCGTAGACATGCGCTGGGACAGCGCCGAGCATGTGTGGCTCGGCCTAGAATGCGCAGAGTCTTGAGAAGAATGACGAAAGATGAAGCCTGCAACCTAAACTTCGATGTTCTGCGACAGGTCCTCGCTGGGGAGGTTTACAGGACGTGAGGTGAGCCATCGCCTCTGGAGTGAATTGATCGAGACCTTCAAAGACCGATGCTTGGCGGCCGCCAGTGTCACGCGAAAGCTTTGCAGGGCGCAATCGCTTGGGGTTTTGGGGCTGGGCTGATGATGCGGGTGTGCAGTGGAAACCAGTGGCAACTGACCGACGGAATTGTCTCGGCTAGGTTAGGAAGAAGCATGGAAGTGGGATGCAGCACAAGTTTTTAAAGCAACGGCTTGCAGCCTGTACAGTGTGCCGAGTTGTGCAGAGCATGATGTGGAAAACTGGGATGCTGTACCGGTCAGGTATCATGTCCTGAGGCAGAACAGCACAGACCCACCACACTGAGGGTAAGAACAAACACACTGTGCACCCGACACATGTGTTACGACGGGATATTTTGTCGAGTCTGACACGAGACTGTATTTGCGTTCGTGCGGTCTTTCGACATGAGTTAGATGTGCTTGTTTGTCTGCATGTATGCATGTATATATATATATACATACATGCATGCATACAGACATATACATACATACATATATATCTATACACATGTATATATATATATA